CTATCAGGCTAATTCCTCACCTTCTGAAAATCAGGCACTGGTGTCAGCTCACCTGCGCCTGTGGGGAAATACAGACCTGAAAATTTCAAGCTGCAGGTCTGGGACTACTCACCTGGTGTGCAGGGAGCATGTGGTCAGACGCTGCAGGGTGGGACTGGGGGCTCTGTGCTGTGCCTCGCAGGTGTTACTCCCCGAAAGACACTCCTGTTGAATAGCCATTACCTGCGAGGGGCAGGATCCTGTGAAAGACGAAAGGTATTTTTCCCCACAAACACAGAGGTTACGGTGTTGTAAAGCAGTGAAGGGCAACACAGAGGAGTTCCACCTGCTTAGCTGGCTGTTTTTTAGGGTTCTGATACTGAAGGTTAAAAGAAGAAGATTTGCCTGTATTTCCAACAGTCTTCTGGGGCTTCAGAGATGTCTACTTACTTGAGGAGGGACAACCCTCCTATTTTCATTGCTGCTTGGGTAGGAGCAGGAGAGAACAAGTACTAAAACCTCAGAGCGCCCTGTAAAAAACTACCTTTAAGAACAAATCAACAAAACCCTAGAGGCGTAATTTTTGGAAACCCCACAGAAATCACTCAGGATTTACAGAGGACCGACTCCACGGCAAGCCGTGCAGCGCTGGGGGTACGTTCTCCCTCATCCTCTCTCCGGCGCGTTGTCCGCGGGGCTGCCCCCCCACAGCCCAGGCCGGGCCGCCGCTCCGGAGAGGTCCCTGCCCCATCCGCCGCCACCGACCCTCGCTCGTAGCGGCCGCCCCGCCCGCCGCCACCCAGCCCCCTCAGCCGGGCAGGGCCGGGCTGCCCAGCCGGCAACCAACAACGGCGACGGGGAACGTCCTCCCGCAGGTCCTCGGAGCGGCGAATTTATCCGTGTGTCCGTCCGTCCGTCCGTCCCGTCCCCCCCCCCCCCCCGCCGCCCGGGCGCCGTTGCAGGAGCGAGTTAAAAAGCGGCGGCGCGGCGTTAAGAGCCGGGCCGGGGAGGCGCGGGCTGCAGCTGAGGATCAGCTGCTGAGGGGAGAGTGGGGAGGAGCCAGCGGGATCAGGAAGCGGCGGAGTGTCTAACACCTCTCTGCCATGGCTGGCTAAAGAAAAAAAATCATCATAACCATAACAAGGGGGGAAGCGGGGGAGGGGAGGCGGCGGCGGGGGAAGGGGCGGTGGGGGAAGGAGCGGCGGGGAGCGGCGCAGGCGGCAGCATGAAGAGGAGAGGCGGCCGGGGGGGCAGCATGCGGTCGGTGGTGGGGTTCCTGTCCCAGCGGGGCTTGGAGGGGGACCCCCTGCTCACCCAGGACTTCCAGCGGAGACGCCTGCGGGGCTGCAGGAACCTCTACAAGAAGGACCTCCTGGGCCACTTCGGCTGTGTCAATGCCATTGAATTCTCCAACAATGGAGGCCAGTGGCTGGTCTCAGGTAAAGCGAACGCTCCCCGTCCCTCGCCCCCCTCCCGCCACCCCCTCCCCAGAAAGCATCTTCCTCCTCCTCCTCCTCCTCCTCCCTCGCGGCCCGGGGGGAGGGGAGCTGCGGCGGCGCTCCGAGTCGTTCCTCAAACCCACCGGTGCCCGGGAATAATGTTTCCCAAGTAGAGATCTAAAATGGTTGACAGGTTTTAAATTCTACTATTATTGAGTGGCGGGAGGGGGGGGCGGAGGGGGGCGGGAGGAGAAGCCCTGGACAAAGTTTTTCCGCGAGTGTTTCCAGGGCGCTGGGGGTGCCTCTTTATTTGATGGCTCGCGAGTTTTGCCCCTTAATGGGGGATTTTATTATTTTTGGGGGGAGCGGACGACGGCGGAGGGGAAGCAGCCCTGCGGCGTGCATTGTGGGCGCCGGGTGACATTTGCCGGCGCCGTGCCCCGGGCCGGCTCACCGGGGGCCGGCGGCGTTTGGGGGGGGGGGGGGGGGGGGGGAGCTGCAGGTCCCGCTCGGTTTCGGGCGGGGAACCGGATCGGTTTAGTTGAGGGACTGGTCACTTTGGGAGCAGACCCCCCATCTTCTTTAGGGGGGGAGGGGAATCGTAGGGTTTTGTTTTGTTCCTCCTCCCCTCGCAGGGCGCGTTTGGCGGGGGGGTGAGATTATTTTCGTGGTGATGTTTTTTTGGGTTCAACTCCCCCCCCTGTTGCCTGCCCGCGGCTGAGGGAGCCGTTGGGGTGGGGGGATGCTGTCAGGTAGGAAGGAGGCGAGGGCTTGGCATCAGCTGCGACACCGAGGAGGGGGGGAAGGCTCTGCACCCCCTTCCCCCCCCAGCCGGGGAGGGGCTGCGGGACTCGGCGGCCGGCTGCCCGCCTCCCCCCCCACCCCGGCAGCGCTTGGCGCAGGTGCCTCTTCCTCCTTCCCCGCCTGCGGGCTCGGAGGGGCGGTGGGGGAAGGAGGCAACTTCAGGCCGGGGCCTGGCCGGGCGGTGCAGGCCGCGCTCTCCTCGGGCGGCTCGTAGCGACAGGCCGGGCAATCGAGGGCCTATCCCGCCCGCCACGGGGCACGGCGCGGCGCCCCGAGGGCTCGGGGGCACCCCTCTCCCGCCCAGCCGGGGGACCCCCGCGGGGGCAGAGCCCTGCGGGGAGGGGGGTGTTGCCCCTTGCCGCACCGCCCCGGGGACGGCCAGGCGGCTGAGCGCGGTGCCCGTGGCAGGCCGCGGGCGGGGGGGCGGTCGTGTCCCGGCCGCCCCACGCCCTCGGTGGGGAAGCGGGCCGGAGGCAGCGGCTCCCCTTCCGCCGCTCGCCTGCGGGCTGGGGGTGCGGGCAGCACCCTCCCCCGCGGCCGGGCCGCAGTGGGGCGGGGGGGGGGGGGAACCCCTTCCCTGTCGTGTGGGGGAACGGCCCTCGGGCGAACTGCAGAGCTCCTTGGCATAAGGCCGTAGCGGCTTTGTTGAGATCGGTCTCTCCGCTTATAAGAGGGTAATGGCCTGGTTACCAGCCAAGGGGAGGAGGAGGGGGGAGAGGGTCTCAGTTTTGCCAGGCCACCCCTCGGGTGGGCTGGAAATAGCGACAGGATCTACTGAGAAAGGTGGTAGGGGGCATGGCTGAGCTTATTGCCTGGCCGTGGTGTCAGGCTCTGTCACACAGGGGTATCAGTAATAACTCCAGAAATAACACGGGGATTCAATAAAAAGTTATTAGGGCTGTTCAGTTACCTTTAAGCAGGGGCAGAATAAAAACACCTTGACCTCTGTGTTTGTAGGGAAAAATATATTTTGTCTCTCACAGGACCCTGTCCCTCACATATAACATCTGATGCCATGTAAGATGTTGTAAACATAGTGGAAGCTGATACACTGAGACCTTCCTAAATTTAAATTTATTACCTGAAGAAACTCAAAAGCATAAGTCCAGTGAATTTTGGAATAAGTGTCCATAAAGGATCTTGGTGTTACTGTCAGGGATTCTTTTATCTATATGCACATGCAACTTTTGAGATACGCATCCATTTATCTTGTGAATATACATATATGTATTTATACACACAGACATATGTATATAAACGTGTGTGTGTGTGTTGGAAGGGAACTGCTGATTCATCTGTTCTAAAGTTCTCAGGTGTGCTAGAGTTGGCATGCTGATTTGTACTGGTCCTTTTCCAGTAGTAAGTAGAGCTATGCATTTCTACTTACAAAATGCTACAGAGAGCTCAAATGCCTCTGTTGTTGATTTTCTATTTTCCATAATAAGTGATGAAAACACCATCAGTATTTTCAGTTCTTGCTCAGAAAAGGCTCAGGAGACACTTCAGGTCTCATTGTATCATCAGTGCACTTACCTATGTTGACATCCATTCTTTAGATAAAAGCATTAAAAAGTTGAGGGCTGGAAGTGACTTTTAAGGATGAATTTTGTCCAAACTGCCTAAGTCAAGGTAGGTGTAGTGAGAGAATGGAGGCACATCTCCCATTAAGTAGACATCTAAAGAAGCATAGGCAAAGGGGGGAAGGCTTTCAAACTGTGTCCAGATTTCAATGTTAGGCTTCTCATAAAGCTACAGAATGTTTAAAGGGGCTAAGTTTTTCTTCTGTCTGTAGGAGATAAACAGTACTAGATTTCTAGCCTCTTAAATGTAATGAAATTAATAGGAAGCAAGTAAAAAGAAATAATGTGTGGGGGGGAAGAGGATGCTTAAGTTACATATGTGAGCAATGCACAAATTTGGGATAATTAAGAACAGACTACCTTAAATTTGACCTTGTATTGGTGCCCTGAGAAAATGAAGAGCTCTAATGATGGTAACTGTTTGTAACAAAGTTTTATGTTATCTGTGACCATAAAATCTGGAATATTTTATATGACATAGCAACGGCAGGCAGGTGTTTTGTTCTTCAGTCAAGAATAAGAAATTAAAAGGTGAAAAATTTATGGATACTCTCTTAAATTTCATGCCATCATAAGCTCAGGTTTCATTTTTTTTAAGGTCATACTTAATCTTGAAGCTCTGAGAAATAACAAAATCATGGAAAAACAGTGAGAATGAGAGCTCAGATGAAAGATACAGGAAGGGTATAAACTGCCTCTAATCTGAAGTTTTCTAGAAAGGTTGCTTCAGACGACTTCCAAATGCAGATCAAGCCTTAGAATAGATGACGTGGGTCTCTCCTCCCTCAAAATGGTCAGTGTGCTGAGGTAGGGATGAGATGTTAGATGATTCCATCTGCGCTTATAGCAGCTAAGAGAGTTAACAGGGATATTGGAGGGTGTGAAAAGGAAGAGTGCAAGCAGTCTTTTTAGTTGTTAGGTCTTAAGTAATATGTTTATTCTTAACATAGAGAAGTCTGCTTCAGCTAATTGACTTGTTAACAGCTTACACCTTGTTAGAGCTGTTTTAAGTACAGCTGATACAGTGCATTTGTAGTGGCTATACTGATGCCATTTAAATTCTAGCCTGTGTCCATATTGGTGCTATCCTCATCAGTACTGTCTGGAATGCTTTTCTTGGGGATGTGTCCCACATTTTATATTTTTGGAGGCTATATCTCCCAGTAGCAAGTCTGTAAGGCTAATGATTACTGTTTCAGTAAACATTTCAAACTGCTTGAACAGGGTTTATATTACAGGTCCAGATAGTTTTCCTGTTAGGATTTTGGAGAACTTCAGCATAGACAAGCCTCAGCAGGCCTTTTGAAAGCATGTTTGAAACCTTTTGGTATCTTCTTTGAATCTTGTACTGGAGATTACACATTTAATAGTAGTTAATTTTGTTCCTAACCATGTTTTCAAGTAAAAAAAGTTGAGGTCAGCGAGTTGGGTTGGAGACCAGTCTGTAGGCTTTTGCTGTACTTGGGGAACTCAACAATGTCGCTCTATAGAGCCAAGGAAAGAGACACACACTAATGTTTTGGGGCAGGAGTGCTAGCAGAAGGGACAGGCATAAGGACAAGAGTTAAAGAAAATGGAGAGAAATGACATCAGGTGGTAGATAATCAGGAGAAGATACAATGTACAAGTAGAAAAGACCTATCTGTAGAAAGACACAAGGGAAGAGGAAAGCTTAACATGTAAGAAATGTTTAAGTGGGCTGAAATTAGTTAAAGCCAGCTGCTGGATAGAGTAGAAAGATTTCATTGGACAAAATGTCTTTGTCACACTTTATATGCTAGGTGGTGGTATTTTTCTGTTAGGAGTTTGAGAAACACATGACTGTCCATGCATGGCAATTAAATTCACCGTGCAATAATATGCAACTGACTTCTTCCCTCAGATATGCCAAGCATCTCCTCCTGCAATTCAACTTCTTAAAAATCATCTTTACTTAGTCTGTGTAATAGGCTTTCTTTTTCCCATCCTCAAGTTTGGTGGATATGTTTTTCTGGTTTTTTTTTGTGTGTGTGTGTGGTTTTTTTTTTTTTTTTGGTCTTTTTCTGACCATCATTTTTCATGCTTGCTATCTCTCACAAACATGAGTATCTTTATCAGAACCTCCCCCTTTTTTTTCTCCCCTACTTTAAACTGGATTTTCAAGATAACTTCTGGGAGGTACTGTAATCTGAGGTTTACTTTACCCATGCATATGTTCTTTTTCTCTCAGCTTCTTTTTCCCTCACCAGATAATGCAAAAATTAATAGGTCTTCTATGATCGTAAATTTGTAGGGATGCAGGAAAAGTACTGGAAGTTCATCTGTCATTTGGTTGCCATACAAATCTGAAGGAGCATGAGGCTAGAACAGGGGAATGAGGTGACTTTAGCAAAGGTAGTGGAATATTGCTTCTGAAGTAAGGAGTTGCGTATCAAGTATGTTTTAAAGAGGGGCAGTGTTGATCTTAATCTCTTTGTATCAAGCAGAATTCTATATGAGGAAGGATCTTGGGTCCAGTTACAACGTGATGTTTCCATTAATATATGAGAAATTATAAAACTTAAAAGTGATACCAGGAAAGGCAGCAATAATTTCAGAGGATAGGATTTGAATTTAAAGTTAATTAAGATACATTACCTGGAAAAAAGTTACGTGGTTTGATGGGAACAAGTGCAGACTATAGCATGTGAATAAAAATGGTCAACTCTACAAATACACTCTAGACACTAGACTGCGGTCATGTAGAAGAGGATCCAAATGTGATAGTATATCACAACATAAATATCATCAGACATGATGAAGCATGTGAAGCAATCCTTCTTTATTTGGTGCTGTTGGGGCCTCAGATGGGGCACTGTGCTCAATTTTGGGCACTGTACTTGAGAAGGATGTGGCTGAACTAGAGAAATTTCAGAAGAGGGTATGAAGACTGATCAGAGGTCTAGAAGAAGGAAAGACTGAAAGAAATGGGTCCATGTAGTCTACAGAAATAAAAGATGAGTAGAGATGCAAGTCTTTAAGCTGCATAAAAGTGTTTATTACAAAGCGTTGTAAACTTATTTGCCCGCTGGGGATAGGACAAAGAAATGGTCTTAAACTATAGGAAGAAAGATTTTAAGATGCTGTTTGATCTTACAATTCCTCTTCATTCCGTAGTTCATTCACTTATTTCTCCTCTCCATTCTTTGTAATGTGGCACTTTTAAAGTCATGAACTGATGGAAGCATCTGAACAGGGGGAAGGAATAGGGAGGGAGAGATGGTTTGTCTGACAGTTGATTTTCTGTCGGGTCAACTTCTTTAACCTAATCACCCCCTGGCTGCATCTCCACTAAATTCAATGGGAGGAAAAATAGCAGGAGCACATGGCAAGGGGCCGTGGGATTATGTGTAACGTCAAACTGCACCCTCGGGCTAGATATTAGGATAATCTGCCTAATGGCAAGCATAATGAAGCACTCAAATAGGCTAAGGAGGGTGTGAAATCTACCTTAGTGGTGGTGTTTTAAGAACAAACTAGACACACATCTACTGGGAATAATTCTGACACAGTCTGGCCTTTTGCCCATGGCCAGGGTCAACTAAGTGATCAACTTCTTCAAATACCATCCAATCCCACTTTCTGTGATTCGTGCAACTTCTTGAGTAGATGCAAGCAGTAAGATTAATCTTGTATGTTATGATTTAGAAGTGTTGTGCACTTGCTATGTAGGTTCTTCAGTGACTAGACCTGGTATGTGGGAGACAGAGGAATAGCAGTCTTGAGCTGTGTCCACAATCAGCAAGGTTAATGCAATTTAAAACAGCAGTTTGTAATTCCTGACTGGTATGATTTTTAAGTTCTTCTGTGAGCACATAAGAGCTCAAGTATGTTTCTTAAGCTATGCAGATACTGTTTAGACTAGATTTGCTTTTGGCAACGGTATGTTCTGGCCCCCTTTGAACCATTTTAGGACTAATAAGAACAGTCCTGGACTACAGGTAGACCACTGTTACTTGAGGTAGACTCTTCTTCCGAATCTAATTATGTATAAATTTAGTGATTACCCATTTAGAAGGTAACCAGATCAGGAAAATTTTTTTGGGAAGAACTAGTCCAAAACCAGGGCAAAACTAGAAGGCTTTGGTTTAGGAACTGTGGAGGCAGTGAACTGTTTGTACTGATATAATGCCATGCTGAGTCATTTGGGACCTATTCAGCTATCTGGAATAGGCATATTCTACCTATAGTGTTTGTCTGTGCTACTTCAAAAAGAAAAAAAAAAAAAAAAAAAACCAAAACAAAAAAACCCACAAACAAATAAAAAAAACCAAACAAACAAAAACCAGCCAAAGCAAAACAAAAGAAAGAACTTCTGGGGGGAGCCCTTTCCCCCTATACCCCCAGTCGTGGGGTATGCAGCATGCATAAACCATTCTGAAATGGACAAACCATGAAGAAAAGGCCCTTTTAATTCTTCTGGGAGGTCTGCTTTGGGTCCACAGGAGCTAGAAGATTGTCAAGGGTGAACACGGTGTTTGTCTACTTAAGAATCTGTTTCAGGGTAAATATCTCAAGATTTGAAATGCAAGCTTTCTGTTTAAGCTGTGTTCTGTTATGTATCTTCTGGGTTGAATTCCTTAATCCTGCATGTGTCTCTCATCAACATTAGTCAGAAGGTCCAAAGCATTAACAAAGTATTCCAGTGACTTTGGGACAGGGAAGAAATGGGTGTTTCTTGTGTATTCTTTGCTTGTGTGTACTTTTTTTTAAAAAAAAAAAAAAAAAAAAAAAAAAAAAAAGGAATACCGCTCTTTTCTACATCAAGAGTAATATGGGAAGGTGATAAAATTTCTAGCCTCTCTGAAAACAAATACTTCTTTGGTCTGATTTCTCTTCCTGTCTCACTTTGATTTTGAATGGAGAAGCAGGTTTGACCCATAATGAACACTGAGGTACTTAACTAATTAAATCTTTTAAAATATGGTTTATTTCTGAAAAGTAACTGTATAATGGCACTGTATGATATTTAGCTGGGTCACACAAACTTTTACTTTTCACATTGTCAGTTGTGCATTTCCAAACAGAATCAGCAAACTAAGATGAAGGTTAAGCTGTTTCAACTTTGTAGATGTCAAATTTACTGACACCGTGAAAATTACAAATTCAAGACTTTATGTAGGGCTTCGATTACTAGAAAGTCTACATGTGGAGCCTTGGTGGCTAAGGTATTTTCATATGAGGCAAAGTATCCAAGTTTCCCAGATGTGTAGTAAACCTGTTGGTGTTGGTATATGCTCTGTATCATGTCAAGAACATACCCTTGCCATACACAGTTCTTCTCTTTGGGAGAGTATTGAGGAGTTACCAGAAGTTTGTGCAGTGGGTCCAGTGCTTTTTGAAAAGTGTTGAGTGGCTTCTGCTTCATATGTTGTAGAATTGGTGTATGTGCACAGTAACTCCACCATAAATTAAATGCATCTTAATTAATCTGCATTCATTGATCTGCTGTACAGAATGAATGCTGTAGGCCTGGAGTTTCCCATGGTTCTCAGACATGTAACTTATGTTGCGTAATGTGCGTGCACTTTGTGTCTGATGAATCGTGGTTCCTTTCTACAGAGCTTAAGAGGTCTACATAGTCACATTTTCTTTGCTGTCTCTGTAAACCTGTCCATACCTGTGTGCCTCCCTCCTTTCTTCCATCTTATTCTAAGAGTCAGGTTTTGGTAGTGGAGACTGCATTTGCTGGTTTCAGTCACGTAAGACTTGCCTTTTCTTGGGTATATTTGCCTGTGACTTAACATTTCTTTTGTATGAGGATGTAGGGACTGTTAAAGTACCTTTCTGCCACAAATCCTCCTCTGACCAGACACGTTGGTAAGGCTTTTTGTTTCTGTTGGAACTGGACTTGAGTCGAAAGTATTTCTGGAATAGCTGAATTGAAGTTAGAAGGGAACACGCCTCCAACCCAGTCAGCATCATTTTATTAAAATTTTGTGTCTCAGTGGGGTATAGAGGAATAAAACTGAGGCATGAAGCAGGGGTGTAGCAATTTCTGAAAGACAAGTATGTGCAAGACAGTGGAGAAGGGGGCAGAATTGCATGAGTGTGGGGAGCATTTAAAAGTTCCTAAACTGTGGAACATGTGCCACCACAAAGGCAAACATAGCCCTCAGACTGTTGTAATGTTGAATACTCAGTAGTGGAGCCCTTTGTACCAAGGTGCCATGGAGATCTAGGTGTCTGGGAAGAGAGAGACACTTGGATTCACTAGGAGGAGTTGATTCTAAGCGAGAGGCTTAAGAAACAGGCACTAAGTTATAGGAACTTATGAAAAAGAAGGTAGTGGCAACTTTGAACATTGTCAAAGACTTTTCTGCACAGGTTACAATTTATCCTGCTCCTATCATACTGTATATGTGCTGGAAACCATAGTAAAGTTCGTTGTCTTTGGATGTCTTCATTATTTTTGTTCCTATCTGGACTAGGTGGGTAGTGGAAATGAATATGAGTTTGCTGTTAAAGTGAGACACCTAGATGGCTGTGCTATCAGGTAGGAAGATGTGTAGACTTACTGCAGTGGTTTTGCAAATTGGTTTGCTATGGTAACAATTAACAACAGTGTATTATTATGTTTTGCCATGAAATATCTTCTAGAGAAATCTTGAAAGACAATGTAGACTACAAATGTAGTCTGATGGAAGCAATGTTGGTGTTCACCAGCCTTAAATGTTGCTTAAATCATTTGCCAGGTAGTGATAACGTTAAGACCTGGCTGTTGGCAGCTTTGGAAAGTGACCGCTTTAAGTGTGACAATCACTTCTTGATTTCAGCCTGACTAATGTGGTTATATGTTTCAGTAGTCGTGTATTTCTATGTCTCCTTATTACTAGCCCATCTGCAATCACTAGGGTACAAATACAACTTTCTGTCCTTTTTTTAGACAGAAAGGAATCTAAGTTCCCGTTAGTTTAGTTGACCATAAATTACTGTGAGTTTTTTCTGGACCCATCACATTTGATTCTTATTCCCTGTAGTTATCAAATGCATCACAAATGTTTTTATTATGTATTCTTGTTTGCTCTGTAAAGTACAAAATCATGGGGAGGAATACACAATTAATTTCATGGAGCATGGGTAAGCATAACATGCAGCTGTATTGTCTGTCAAAGTGATTGTCATAAAATCTGTTAGGAGCCTTAAAGACTGAGAGACTGTTAACTTAAAGGATGTTTGGCATAACTCAGTTCCATGGGAAAATGTCTTAATAGCATCATATGATGTGAAGACTTTTAAGAAATCTGATTAGCAGTAGTCATGGATTCTATTTATGCATTTACCTCATCTTGAAGTAAACTTCAGACCAACTAATTTCAGTTTCCTTTTTCCTCTCATGCCTTTTTCCTTCTCGATAGCAGCTCAGAAGGCACCGAGTTTATGCTTTTGGTCATGCAAAGAAGCAGTAAAATGTTTTAACTGAAATCAGCATGTTTCTGGTGGCACTTCTGACTTGTGATGCCATTCTTTTTCATCTGGTATTAAAGTCAGATACCAAAAATATTTTGAGTCTGACTTGAAGCTTTATTCAGATTTTTACAGGCATCCAAAATTGATGTTGAGAGTGCTGTCCAATACAATAATATCTTGATTTTTTTCTCTTCCTAATAATAGATTAATGCAATTGGAACACAAACAGAGTCTAGTACTTATTTTATATCTGACTGTTTACCAGACAAATGAGGTGGTACTTAAATACTTTATTTGTGTACAGAGCTCTGAACTGAGAACTGCACCTAGGCAAGCAATTGGAAGTAGTACAGCAAGCTGTAAAGCAAGAGAGTGTTGAACTTCTTTTCCCCAGTTATCCTTTCAGGAGTTCACCTCAGAAATGTCTGTGTTAATCTTTACAGATCTAGAAGCATGACATAACTGTGCATGCTGAAGACTTCAGAATGCTTCAGTAAAATCTTTTTATGTCCAAGTCTCAGTCCTGTATTCAACCTATGCTGTGAAGGCTTTGCAAAGACTGCTAGAGCAGATACAGTTGTTGGTGAAAGGGGAAAAAAGTTCCTGTTTTATGAATAACATAAGCGATGCTGGCAACAAGGAGTTGGTGTAGAAGCATTTTGCCAACATGCATATGTTAATTTGGCATGTAGTTCATCTACAGCTTGCCACAGAATTTTACATACCAGTAAAATTCTGAGTCTCCAGGTTGCTATAGAGTTTCACTATGTGTTGGCAGAATGGCAGCTGTTTAATCCAGACTTTTCCTGCTGATTCCTCTGTTTTGGTTAATATTAATTGAATACCTGACTGCATGGCATCTTAATGTAAATGTGTGTCTATATATCCAAACCCTTATGAGGTATAATTTCTTAAAATGCTAATTAGGGTTTCAGCAAAGCCTTTTATGAATAACTGCAGAGTTAAATAACTTGCCTGTCATCAGTTTACACATGGCTCAGGCGATAATGCACATTTCCTTTCTTTCTTCTAGGAGGGGATGACCGCCGGGTCTTACTTTGGCGTATGGAAGAAGCCATCCACTCAAGAGTCAAACCAGTTCAGCTGAAAGGGGAGCATCACTCTAATATCTTCTGCCTAGCTTTCAATAGTGGCAATACAAAAGTGTTCTCTGGAGGTAAGGAAGGAAGAGCACCTTTGTTTCACAGGACCGTGCATTGTGAATACCTTGGAGTAGAAGCCATAAGCAAGATCCTGCCCCACATGAAAGGTCTTTTCCATAGTCCCCTCAGGATCTGGAAGGTGTCCTTAATTGGCAGCTGAAGGTTCTTTAGGAACAGGGAGTACTTTAGCTAGCACAACATTTTCAGTTTTGTCATGCTTCTCCTCTTCCCAGACCCTGGTGTAAGCGTGTTGTATCTCAAGCTATTGTGAGAATTCTGGGTCCAGTCTGCTCCTACTTGTGCTACAGGCTGTGGAACATGGTATTTGTTATTCCTTCTTAGCTGTACTGGGAGCAGACCCTGCATCCTCTCTGGCACTCAAGCCTGATGCCTGAAAATCTCTGCTGCTACCAGCTGATTTTAATGCACCCTTAGATGGTTCATGGAGGGCTATTGCCATCTATTGGTGGATCACTTTTTCTCAGACCTCATTTCAGTCCTTGCTAGATAAATGTCTGCCTTTTAGAACTGTTGGCACATTGGGCTCTAATTGGCCTTGATATTCTTCATCTTTTTTTAATATAAATCCGCTTTTTAAAAGAAGGTTTAATTCAGTCTTTAATTTAAGGAAAGTGGACATGTATTTGTTCTGGGGTAATAATCCCTAGAATTTAGGTTCATTTCACCACTTGATTTTTGAAGTGTTGAGGTAGGGAGGAAAATTGAACTGAGAAGAAGAAGGCAGAAGACTATCAAAATGCAGTCAGTGTCATTTGCTGCTGTACTTCATTTCTTGTATCTGACACGATGATAGAATGGACAGGAACTTGTATCTTTCATCACTATGTCCATTAATAACAGCTAGACTCATTTTAGGATATTATGAGACTACTTGGTCAAAGCCCTTCGTTACCTTTTCGAACCATAAATTGATACTAAGCACGTGAGAATGGTGAGTTTCCCATCCTTCAATACTGTGTTAAAACTATAACATCCATTAGAAAAAAAGGCACGACAAAGCTTAAGATGGTGTCAAATTTTAAGGATTAAATGATTCAGATATACTTCTCAGGTGGAGAAAACCCCCAAAGTGTCAAATAGTGATACCTATCTTCTGATTATGGGGACTGACGTTTGTTTTATGAGAAATAGAGCAGTCCACACTGCCTTCAAATTAATGTATCTTTATGAGTGATTCCAGTGAAATTTGGGGCTGGAGTTTGTTTTAATTTAGTTTGAATTCAGACAAATGGAACCTTTTATATTCAAGGAGTGAACTGTGCCAAATCTTGCTGGACCAGCTGTAATGGTATTTTTTCTTTTCCAACTCAGTGCTCTGTCCATTGGGCCTGGCTGTCAGAGGCTACTGTTTTCCTGGGGAGAGCAGCAGAGCTCTTGACTGTACCTTGCCACTGCAGTTAACACCTGCAGTTAGAGATTGACATCATTGATGATGGTGGATTTTTGCTAAGATGCCAGGTTAGATGAGCTGTGGCAGCTGATGAACAGATAAACTGGCCGTTCTCATCTCTTTTTTCCTCCTCCAGCTTGCATAAACATACTCTGCCTTTGCCAGAAATTATTTCCATTGGAGGAGTCAGGAACTCTTTCAGCTGTTCCACCAAGATTCACAGAGCTCATCTGCAAGGGCTGTGAGTCTGACTCTTGGATCCCTTGTAAAGAATCATTTTGCTGCATGGCCTAGATGTACCATCTGTTTTATCTCTGTTGGTAAAATGGGACTAACTATATTTATTCACTCAACGATGTTCTGGGAGATTCTTAAAAGGTCTGAAAGAATAGTGGGTCCTAAGATCTATTGGTCATCATGCCCCCCAATACTGAGTTGTGCCTAAATCATGGAAGTTGGAATACTTCAAAATATCCCTGAAAATTAGAATATGGAAACTAGGAAAAGGTGCACATAACTCAATTCATTGTGTAAATAAAGCTGCCAATGACTAATGATTTAGGATCTGACGACCTTTCCCTAAAGCAGCTCTTGATAGCAGAGGAGAAAGGATTTTCCACTTCAGTATAAATTGGATTGCATCCAAAGAATTTCAAAGCTCTTTGCTTTGAAGGAGTGCCTGTGTAGCATGCACCACATGTAGCCATTACAAAAATGAAGGCAGGAACTGAGTGGACAGTGTTTTGCATGTAATCTCTGGAGAAAAAGCTGTCTCAAGATACCAAAGAAGTTCCCATCCCTGAAGAATATTGTTGCCCTTCTCTGTCCACACACACAGAGTAGAGCATCATTTGAAACGATAAGGTCCCCTCATAGTAAACTGCATGGGCTTTTTTTGTTTTTGCGTTTAATGTTAGGTATATGAAAAGCTGAAATAAGCCTACAGGGAACTGAATTTGTTTCTGTAGAGTCCTGATGTGACAGATACAGGGTTTAGGCCATCTTAAGTGTGCTCCTCTGTATGTGCTCTGCAGTATTTCATCCTCACAGGTATAATTGAAGGGAATGGCAGATCTTTCTTGTCTTTCTGGTCATCATAACTGCAGTTATCAAGAAAGATTATAAATGGGAGAGTTGCATATGCAATTACAACCTAGTTATTCTAATAAAGAATGAACTCTCCTGTGTTAAACGCTGTAAATGGGAGCCCTACTGGGCTGAACAGCAGCGATATTTTCTGCAGGGATGAATTCTTACCAGAAGCAAGCAAGCAGTCTGGTTAGATTTTTGTCACCACCTTTTGCTCCTGCATACCAAAAGGAGAGAAGCAGTGGTTATTCCACACATCCCTTCCTTCTGTTCGTTCTTTCCTATTTTGTAGCTTGTGATAGAAGGGAAGGTTGATCCCATGATGACTAGAGGCCTGAAGCCAGGCATCTAGAATGATTCTTGTGTTCATACTGTACAGAGAGTGAGGAGGAAAAGTGTTTGCTGGAGGAAATTTTGTCACTGGAGAAACTAGGCTACATTTTTCACTGGTGAAATACATAGGCACTAGAGTAGTTTTACTAGGTATAAACCTTGCCTGTAATGTATAATAGGCAGTTTCCATTGCAATTAATGATCAAAGGACACTTATGTATAAGTGACTTGTTTATTGTACCATGGAAAAGATGAGCTACTGGAGTATGAGGCTGGCATGATTTAACTAGGAGCCTGTACAAAGAGCAAGTGGATGTAGAAAAATCTCACACCTCATTAGTCAAAGAGAAACTTTCTCATATTTCTTCTGTTGGGACAGAATATAAATTGAAATATGTACGGGATAAATGAAAACTGGGTCAACTGAACACTTAAGAATCATAACATGAAATATTGTTCCTTCTGAACCCCTGGCTTTGGTGTGCACTAGGAAAGCTTCGCAACTTGGTATTGCAACTACATACTGAGCATAAAAATATGACTTTGTGGGCTGTTTTTTTTTTCTTATGAATTAAACATAAATGTGTGTTTCCTTAAATATTTCTAAAGAGGAGGTGCCAAATTAGATAAATTAATATTCATCACAGAGACTAAAAAAATAGTCTATTGCTATAGCTTGAAAACACTGAATGAACCAGTAGAATTACTTTGTAGCTGTAATCTTAGTCTGCATGCATGTGGTTAATTTCCGTTGTATTTGATGTGATCAAAAAAAAGTGACATGATCGTCTGATTACTTGGTTTGGTTTTGGTTAATACAAAAGAAATTACACTGGCTGTCATGTTTGTGCCTTCTCAATGGTTGCAAAACTCTGAATGCTGACGGTGTTAACTGGTGGCATTTGAGCTGGGAGCCCAGTGCAGTTTGCTTACGGCATCTCTTTTCACCTTCCACTAGCTTTTTACAGAGCATACTCTGGGCAGGAAGAAGGGTATATTCGCATGAGAGTTAAAGGTGTTCTGCTGCTTCATATAATACTCTCTTCTTTACTGCAAATGTCCCACAACTCAAGCCCAAACTGAACAAAGAATGATCAGTAACACAGTTAAGTGGAGTTATTTGTAGAGCAGCAGCAGATGGAATGGATTGGTGCATTTGATCATGACTGGAAATGTCACATGGATCCTTTCACATTGCTGAGCAGAGCGCTGACCACTTGGCAACTGAACTTGTCTTCTCTCTGCTTCAGTTTTGTTTTTGAAATAGAAAAATTAAAAAAAAAAATGTTTTTTTCTTCTTTCACTATAATGCTTTTTAACCACTGGAGCATGATGTTAAGTGTTTATATTTCTCTTTATAGGCAATGATGAGCAAGTTATACTCCATGATGTTCAAAGGTAAATACATAGTTTGTGTTTCCACTGCTTCAAGAGTTCCCTTAATGTCAACTCATTAGAGGCACTTTTTGTTTTAAGTTTATGGTCTGGGAGAAGAGCACAGTGTTTTAATCCCGAAACAGGCTTTTTATTTATCAAAATTCATATCTGGGATGAAATATTCCTCATCATCCCATTTTTCTATTCAGCCCTTTGGTTCTGCATCATTTTGACCTTGGGGGAGAGAATGGTTATTAAATACATATGCTCTCCTGTAGGCAGCATAGTAGGTTCTGAGTAGATTCAGAACCAGGTTATTCTGGCACAATACAAGTATTGTGGCGCACATGGGCTTTTTGGTTTGTTTTTCAAAACCCTGACTTGCATTTAAGATAGCTAGTGCTTGGCCTACATAACTATCTTTTAAAACTTCGGGTGCAGCTGCCTGATTCACCACACTAATGCGAGGTGTTACTTATTTTGATCCTTACTTTTTACCAAAACTGCAAAGCAGTTGGGAATTGTGCTTTGTTGTGATACATCAAGATTAAGCTGTTAGTCAAAATATAAATAATACAGTAGTGATAATGTATTAGTTTGGAGTTCTCAAGGTACCATGTCTTTTGAGCTTACTGCTGTTAACTTCTACAGATTTAAGCAATAACCATTTAAACAACATACTCAAGAAAGTAAAGTATAAAGAAAAAGCAGGAAGATACATATGTAAGAACAGAGAAATATAAAACCTTAAATCTTTTTGTGTTGCCTGAATCCTAGTTAACATAATTTGGACATATTCCTTGCTAGGTTTGTGCAAAGCCTTTTGCACTGAACTGATCAGTGTACATCTGCCTTCCATCATACTTTATATTTACATCGTGTATAAATCTTAAATGAGAGCTGGGCAAAAGTAACTTTCTCTTACTCTTCTAATGCTTTCTCAGGTATATTATGTTGTTTGGTATTTTTTGTTTTGATTTTTACGTTGGGATTTTTTGGGGAGTTGGTTTTTGTGTGTTTGATTTGGGGGGTGTTTGGTTTGGGGAGTGTCTTTTGTTTGGTTTTTGTTGATGTTGGGGTTTTAATTAAATGTGTAAATATCAAAATTTTAGATTCTGGTGTTTATTGTGTTCTGACTTCTAAAGCTTCTACAAAATCTTTGTCCTTGACAGTTTTCTATATAACTCATTTTTTCCTGCTATGTCTTGCTTAGATGTTTTAAGAAGTCTTTTTGATATGTCTGTATTTTTAATGTGCTTTTGTTATCAGAGGGTTTTTTAGGTATGTAAGGTCCAGTTGTAATGCATACAGAATTAATCTCCTCTAAGGCTATTTGTGTGATCTTCTGAAAGAAACCTTACTAGTCTTGACACACTGAATTCTCATTGATTTCTGTAGAAAGTTACTCTGTCTTCTTGAATGATAACACTTGATCTATCAACTGCTTTTTCATACTTCTAAATGGCTTTTTCTGTTACTGCTTTTTTGGCCTTTCTGTCACTAAGAACACTGAGATCATCAATCACCATGTGAGCAAAACACTGATTTTAGGTGGGATCTCACTGGTGGGGTTTCCATGAGGTATAGGGATTGTATACAAAGTGTATTCTCTAAAGAAATAGAGGGGTTTTGCCAAAGAAATAAAACAATCCTGGAATCTTCTGTCTTAGTGTTTTAGTTTTTGGCCTCTCCATGCTACTATTTCCTCCTTTTTAAATGATCTAACAAGTTGGGAAAAGAATGGAGAACGGGCTTTTTCTTTTTAATAATTGAAGAATGGCTGGAAATCTAGGTACTTTCAGGGGACTTACTTTTATTTTGTTCTTTTTTTCTGCTTTTTCTGCATGGAGAACCAAGAAAACTTACTAAAAAAAGGCAGCTGGGAAGTTGCTCTTTTGTGAGCTTCAGCTGAACTTTTGGTCGAAACAGAAGCCTGTATTAAAGAATGAACTTCTGTCTTGTTTTCCTTTTTATATTAAGTAGTAAAAATCTAGTTCACAGGTCCCAAGACCTCTTTCCCTTTCCCATTACCACCTCCTAAGATTAATTTAATACAACATGATTTCCATAGCATCTTGCAGTATCTGAAGTTTTGAATGTGTGGGTTTTGATCTGAGGGGTTTTTTCCTCATAGCATGATGCCTTGATCACACTACATGGGCTTTTTGTTTGTTCTTTACTCTAATTAAGCACAAGAGTCTTCTTACGATGTTACATAAACCTTGTCACTAAGTATTACTAGGTAGATAAAGTTGTAAATACTTTGCTTTTTAAAATGACAGCAAAAGAAGGAAGAATAATAATATTGTATGTCTCATTTCCAGCACCGAGACCTTGGATGTGTTTGTCCATGAAGATGCAGTGTATGGCCTTTCAGTGAGCCCAGTAAATGACAACATCTTTGCCAGTTCCTCAGATGATGGCCGGGTTCTCATTTGGGACATCCGAGACTCTTCCCATGGAGGTGAGATCTCTAGATGGAAAGGATCATTGTTTTGGGAAGAATTTGGGCAAGGCAGGGAAGGGAAAAGTTATGTATATCTGGGACAGTCACAACAGGGAGTGTTGGAGAAGGGTAAAAGTGAGACATAATTCTTAAGGCCAGTGATAGGCAAGCCTTGGTCTTTACTATTCAGTCTTACTGTCTTAACTGACTTCATAAAGTACCAGCATATACTGCAGGCTAGCATAGGACTTGGTATGAATAGGTTTTAACTTGAATACAGAAGCAGTGAAAGACATGTTTCTTCAATAAAAATGTCTTGCTAAACTTTAAATCAATTAGAAACGTGGGTTTCTTTGTTTTTTTCAGTAACCTGGGATAAAAAAGCTTTGGACTTTTAGAAAGATGTTATTTTGATTTGAATGATTTTCCAAAGCTATTTATATACTTCCCTGTGACATTGAGAATTGTTCTTATGCATAAAGTTTTCTGACTGTATAGAAACTTAGAGCCTTTATGTGATAACAGGGAAGTTGAATTATTACTCCAATCTTTATTTTCTAAAACAGGACTGAATACTGTTGGTTTATGTTACAAACCTGCAGCTTCTCAAAACACTGCACTCTGTGTTTTTACAGCTGCAGTTTTAAGGGTGAAGAATCTCACTTTAGAACTGTAGTTATATAACTTTGGAGAGGAATACTTTAGTATATGAATACTTAAGTAATACTTCAGTAAATGGAGTTGTGAATTTACCCCATCCTAAAGAGCACAAAGCTGACAATTTAAACCTGAACAGTCTGCAGGCGTACAGAATCCAGTTCCCTTACTTCATAGCCAAAATTAACTTTCATCTTTTTTTCTGTAAGCTGATTAAATGCAATTGCCTCAACTCATAGATTCTACTGGTCCTGCAGGGAAGTTGTTTATGGCACTGAAATCTATCTTAACGTGTTTTGTGGCAATTTGTACATATTTGTTATCGGGTCAAAGTTGCTGTTTAACTGAAATAGCTTTTTCCATACCTAGTGAATTTGATAACTCTTCTAGACTGTCATTCTGTCCCTTTTTGACTTGGAAATTAAAGCTGAAACAAGACATACTTTTATAGTCTCATAGGAGTCTTCTAGAGCCACTAGTATCATAAGGGCTTTATTGAACATGAGTAACTACAATTAGGTCTTTCTTGATAAGCCTCACCAGAATACTTGGAGTAGATTGCTTATTGATGCCTTCCCTACCCTAGGCATATTGCCTTTGTATAAATAAAAATTAAATATACTAGCACTGCATTCAATTTTCAGTAGTCTGATTATTTCTGTGAATTCTGATTTTTCTTGTGCAATTGTGATATTCCTTATCTCTTTCCCATCTGGTTATTTTATTCAGACATTCTGAAAAACAATGCACACACTCAGTATATGTATATCACCAACTTTAATTAAAAAAGTTTAGAATGTCTCTTCTCTGTCTCTGAGGAACTCACTAACAACCTCCCTCTTGCTCAGAAGTCCCTTACTAGCACAGTGAACTGTTGTCTTCCCTTCAGCCAGTTTCTTACCCCATGCAACTCCCTTTGCCTCTAGCTAAACTTGATACTATACCACATGTGAATTTAGTCCTTGTTAGATCTACCAGTTTTCCTCTATATGAAAGGTCAGTTACTTTAACAGAGAAAGAGTTCAAATTTAGTCTGTTGTGACTAGTTTACCTTTGGTAACTCCAAGTGTCACTTCATCCCTGTTTTTCTGTTTTCATAATATCCAAGTGATGAGACCAGACACTGAATATGGCTTCCAAATTAGAAATTGTGAAATGCTCCTTTATTGCCTTTTCCTGAACTCTACACCATAAAGATCTGTCTCTGTTAGGAGAACTGCCTGTTGTTGACAGTAAATGTCAGCAGTCAGTGGCACTGGATGCTTAAATGCATCTGTATGAATGTGCTCAGTATCATAAGCTAATGTCCAATCTGATCTGAGTTTCTGAAATTCTATGAATGAGGTTTGTCCTTCTTGTAGTTAAACCTTGCTACTGCTTTTACTGTTGCTGAGACTTTTAATGAGAAGGCTGCACTAGTGAAAATGGAGTGAAGAAGTGCTGGCTGTGGTACATTTTGGGGTTTTTAGGAGTAGTGTCTTAGGTTTTCTGAATTTTAAATAAAAGACTTTTGCATGCTTATATAGGAGTCCGGAGTCAGCATTTATATGTGAACCCTGCCAATGTTTACTACAATATAATGCTTGTCATGGGGGTAATCCCCTTTGTCTGCAGTGGTATTTTCATGGGAATAGGTACTGTGCCTGCTAGTGTGAGTATAGTTAATTACCCTGAGTGGCCAGCTCATTAAAATATTGCATATAACCTCCTAGTTTAAAATAGTGCCATAAAAGAAGCTGGAAAAGGAGTTTCATTCCCCTTCTGTTTCTCCCTGTCTTTCACTGACGAGTGATTTATGTAGTAATTTTTAGAAACCCACTTTCAATTTTTCTTAGAGGTGGTGTTGATCTTCCCCCTTGAGAAACATTTTCATGCTGCAGAGTAAAAGAGCTGCAACTGTGAATGAGCATAAAGAACAATAAAAAAGCAAACCCCCCTACTTTTCATTAAAGTGACTTAGTGCCTCATTAGTTTGGCTCCTGTAATCTCTCTGACAGGCTGAAAGACAGTTTTTGATATCTTAGAAGAAAACCGATACCAGGCCATGCTATTTATAATAAAGGTGTGAAGGAAAACACCAGTAATTAGTGACAATGATTTGACTAAACAAACGTACACAAATTAAAAGTTTATTTTAAAAACCAACTCCTTTACTTGGCCATCTGATGTCCTTTGTCTCTCCACTCAGCTAATGCAGGCCATTGCTTCTCAGTGGGGGCTGCCATTTTAATAACCCAGCCTTTTATGTCCCAGCAGGGGTCTGATTTGATGATGCAAACGTAGAGGTCAGTTTTGGTGATAAAGCTTATTTGGAGCTGCCAGCAGACCAACAGCAATCTCTAAAGCCTTTGGGCAGCCTGGCGGAACAAAAGTTTGCTCCTGTTCTTCCCTTTACCTCTACCTCCTATGACAATTAATAGCACCAGGGCACAGCCATGGTCAGAGACTTTTGTTTTGATCACTGCTATACGGCCACTACAGAGGGAAGTCCCTGTGTCAAAGCTTGTAACAGAGCATAGTAAGAGGATACAGATGGAGCAGGACAAGTGAATGTTAATTCTGTCTCGCTTGATGGGCAGTAGTTTCAGAAGGTATTGGGAATTTGGGAGGGATGGTTGTCTGTTTAACCATGTTTTATATGTCTTAATGAAAGATATGAGGAAAGAAAATGAAGTACCTGCTGGAGGTGCTTGTGGGGCTAAAGGTACCTGCACACAGTGGCTCAAATAAGGGCAGTAACAGAGTCTCCCAAGCACGTGAGCAACATGGTGGCTGCATCAAAGCAAACAGTGAATGGAAAAGTCTGGCATAATCCCTGGCTCAAAATAGGCATTGATTCTGGTTTCTTAGCTGAGTGAAAAAGTGGCAGCATGCCACAAAAGATACACACAACAAAGAGAATTAGACAGTGCCTAAAGCCATAAAGCTAGCAGAAAGATAGAGAAGAGAGTCAAGGCTTTTTCCTGCTCTTCATGGAGACAGCATTTTCATGGAATGAATAGGGCAGAGTAGCAGGCCAAACACAGTCTGGCTACACTAATCAAGATACAAGAGAGAGAGTCTGGAGGAGCATGTTTTTAACTCTGTGTGAACAGCAAAAGCCAACTGTTAACATTATTTATACAAGAGGAACACTCTTCTTGTCTACTTGTACAGCTGCTTGTACAGCTCTTAAGAGGTGGCAGGCCTCTTTTCCTCAGGGTTGGCAGCTTGCTTTGAGCTGAATTCCATACAAACTTATTTAACATTTTGTAATATTATTCTCCCATATAAGCAATTGCTGTTACGTCTACAGTTTGGGTGATCATCACTGGCTGTGGAAGCTTCCAGGCATATATTGCTAGGAAGCTGTCACAAGCCCTCCTTATTAAATGACCATTTGGTCATGCACCTTAAGAAGATTCAAATACTTGATCTTTGAGTGACTGATTTTTAACTCTGCTAACCTTCCATAAGCAAAATGGTATCTTGAAGTCCAGTATTCATCCTTTTCCATATTTAGACAAAGTTAATGTACATGTGGGTGGATTTTAAACGTCAGGTTTTATACTGCTTTGGATGTGTCAGCTTGAGAAATGGTTTGAACATGTCACCATATCTTCAGATCTTGTTATGCTGTTTCCATATGAAGCTGCCAAACCCATTGCATTGAACAGTTGTATGCACTGTTTGTTCTTATGTCTGAAATCTCAACTTTTTCAACAGAGCCCTTCTGCTTGGCACACTACCCATCAGCCTTTCACAGTGTGATGTTTAATCCAGTAGAACCCAGATTACTGGCTACTGCCAACTCTAAGGAAGGTGTGGGACTGTGGGATATTCGTAAACCTCAGAGGTATGATCTGGCTGTCCTTGTCTTATGCTGTGCTATTTCCTTCCCTTGAGAGGTGATTGCATGCCACACTTTTTTCCCCACCCCCCCCTTTTTTTTTTATTTAAGTCAGAACATACAATGGCAAGAAAAGATGCAGAACAAAGTTAACAGCCATGTTAGTAATGCTGAATTAGATTATTTTGCGTAATTAACTTTTTTCTTCATATGTACAATCTAATTTGATTTAAAATGGGGATATATCTTCAATGTTAAGGTAAGTGATTTTTTTTTTTTTTTTTTAGAAGCCTGACTGACCTCACCACTTCAGATTTAACTTTGTTGTGTCAGGTTCTCATCATTATATTTAGCACTGGTTTGCTAATACTGGAAGAAGCCGTGGTGAGCACTGCCTGGTTTTACAGTTTGTTTTTTCTACCCAGCTCAGTTTTCAGTGTCTGACTAGAGATTGTGGTCAAGGCAGCTTTTTATTCAGTGCTTAAGAGTTCTATATGACTTCCTGGATAATACAGACACCTGGATCATCAGTTTGACTGCATAGTGTACTTCCAGATTTGCATAGGATTTTAAACAAATTAAAAGAAGAGACTAAGTTTGCGGCATGAAGTGTGGTTAGACTGGGCTTTAAAGTAGACATATGCAGTGTCTGATAACAGTTTGACATGCATGAGGGATTAAGCTTCTGTTGAAGTCTTTTTCAGTCTTTCAGATTTTGAAAGTTATTTCCCTTTTTTATCATAATAATAAAAAAAAAATTTGAGCATCTCAAATAATTCCCCCACCCCCAACTTTTAAGTTTACATGTTTCAAGTTAAAAATGTAAGCATAGAAAGAATAATTTCAAAAAAGTGAAAAGAGGCGAAAACAGTAGTAGTTGTTTACAGTGCAGTAGCCTCAGCTGTTTAAAATCTGGAAGGGAGTTAGGAAGTTGCCTAAGATGTCTCCTCTTATCCGTGTCAAACTCTTTATGTCTAGGTCTTAGTAAGTGACTTTCTAACATCAAACTTCAGCATTTACTGGATAGAGGGAGAGAAATATAAGATGTTAGGGTTATTTTGCTCTTACAGACATGTTTCTTGGGTTTGTTTTTTTTTTTTTTTTCCTTTAAATTTTCTGTCATTTTAACTTCAATTCATGCCTGGTTTTTCCTTGTGAACTAATACGGACAATGTTGGCTGCTTCTTGCCAAGCCAGCTGGCCTCATTGGTTTTGAAGGATTCTTTGGTTTTCAGCTTCTACCTCAATTTTGTGATTTAAGAGCTTCTGCAAATTGAGCTGGTCTTGTTTTCAGAAGGGAGCTACACCAAAAACACGTGTCTCAGGAAATTTATTCTCAGAGTGTGAATATAGAAGGAATGATGTTGGTATAGCTTATATCAACAGGAATTCTATATGGATGCAAAATTTAGATGAAGTCTTTCACTTGAGTAGCAAAATGAAATTAGTGGTGGACTTGGCAGTGCTAGGTTAATGGTTGGACTTGATGATCTTAAAGGTCTTTTCCAACCTAAACAATTCTATGATTCTATTCTAGGTATCACTAAGGATACAAGCATTGACCCTGATGAATGCAGGAACAGATTATTTGAGTAAGGAATTCTCCTCTTACACATTTTAACAGCTGCTTTCTAATAGCAGAAATAGTGCCTTCTTATTTTTAGCTATTCTCATTATGATTTTGATTTCCAAAATTTTCTCAGCTTATATATAAAAGTGTTCATGAGCTATTGCTTGGGGTGGTAGCAGCTATCAGGTCATAGAAACTCAGAAGATCTCCAGTTTAAATAGTATCTTGCCTTCTTCCTCAGTCTTAACCACAAGGCAAAGTGCTTGCTGTGAGCTTGTTGGAGGCTACTGTGTGTATGGGCTAATAGTCTGTGCTCACACATTTAAGTACACACATCTTTAGCTGTATTGTGGCACTGTTCTTTCTAACGCCAAGTATAAAACAGCTATAACAGGATTTAACTGGTAATGCTTCTTTGCAAGTAATTTTTATTTCCCCAGGTTTAGCACCAGTATGAAAGACCTAGTCACCTTTTAATAAATCTGAATTCTACAGTCTTTTTCAATGGTGAAAAGGGAGGGGAAAGTGTTTCTTATGTTATAACCTCTGGGTCATCTTAAAGGCCTTGAATAAGCTAAATTGGTGGAAGCTTGTACACTTACACCGGATGGACAAGAGCTACCCTTTTCTGGTCCTAATCTGATCAAAGTAAATCTTTCCAATTAAAAAGCTAAATGGTGATGATTAAACATCATATCTTGCAACTACAGTGCTGAAATTCCAAGGTGGATAGCTCACTACACTTTTTTCCTGCATAGAAGAATGAGTGCAACACCCTTATTGCTACAGCTGGACTTAGGCTGTGTATACCATACAGCTGTTCTCAAGCACTGAATTGAAATGCACCTACCGGGTGTGGTGCATTGCGTCAAATAGGCACATGCTTCCTGCCTGCAGCCCACACCGCCCGGAGGACTCAAACAGGAAAGTGAAGGGTAAGAGACAGGCTGCTCCTTGCAGAGTAAATGCTGTTGGCTGATACTTAGACTCAGACTTGGGCTGAGCAAGCTGTAACTTAAACGAATGCAGGTGATAAGTCTACTTTCAGCTGCCATTTTTCTGTCACAGCCATCAGCTTTCCTCCTTTGCGTGCTCAGAGACGTGCCCAAGACACGGTGAGAAGGGTATGCTTGGCTGAGGGAAAGAAAGTGGTCTAAAGCACTCTGGTGCCACTGCATTTTGTTTGCAGGCAGCTCTCAGGAAATAGGACTCTTCAGAGTGATCTGTGTCCTTGTAGTGGGCTGCCAAAGCCAGAGTCCTTCATATTTAAATAAATTAGACTGAACTTTTTTAGTCTTTATTAAAGTAACAGAGCATTTGCCTAAAGTTCCACTGGTCTCTGCAGTTCTAGTATGGTAATCTAGAAATATGGAACTTGATTTTTAACAATTCACTTCATCTTATGAGGAAACAATTTTATTAATTTGTAGATCAGTTAAGATATAATCCTCACTCCAGTGAGGAAGTGGAAGCCAAAATTTAGATTTTGTATCTGTGGATTTTAGTTTGTTAATCACTTCTTGGGAAAATACACCATTAACTTAATTATCAGGGGAATTTTTTTTTTTTTTAAGGATGAAATAATGCACATAATGCTTTAAGTACTTGGGATAAACTTTACGTAGAACTGAAGTTGGTACATGAGGGAGTTTTTATATATTTTTCGTATTAATAATAAAGGACACAAAATGTAGAAGTGTTTTGGCTGGTGAATTTTATAGACACAATGGTTTGAACTGCCCTGAAATTCTCCATAATGTACTGATGAAGAGGAAGCTGCCTGTGTAACTTATATGGCAGAACACTAGCACAGCAAAGAAGGGCTACTGCATCAGCTGCTTTCCTCACTGTCAAAAAAAGTATGATAATGGTGGAAATCCTTGCTTCTCTACAGGTTTGTAGCTCTCTTTTATACTGTCATCCAAGAAAATGTAACACTGCCTGAGGTGTAGGAAAGATGAGGGAATAGAGGATCTGGGTGGAGGATGCAATGTGGAAGTATTAATTTGCTGGGAATGTTGAATAGCACAATATATGTAACTACAGTATAAAATAGCTAGATCTGTCTATTTCTTCCCTAGCCTACATTTTTATTTCTGTTGCAGCACATGAAGCTCAGTTGTGAGGGACTTTATTTTATGCTGTAAACTGTCAAGGGAAAATCCTTCTTTCCTTCAGTATTGATGTAATTCATAATATTATGGCCACTGTGGGAGTTTCAGTCCTGTTCCACCTGTGGTGCTAGCAGAAATGACTGGATCAGGTGAACTTTAGCTGTCTTGTCACTATGTGTGGTAGTGAGGTTTTGATGAGGGGTTGAATGGATAGAAAGAAGGGGATGAAATGTAGATGCTTTTAGATGCTTGCTGTGGATTGCTAAAATAATAACTTCCAGTGAGTTAAGAGGGCTGCAACAGTCCTCCACTATAGGCAAGGTGAAATGGTTATATGTAGTTACTAATTTGCTGCTAGCATAACACTTCATTTCTCCCAACTACTGTCCTGTTCTTTGTCAGCTCTCAGATGGAAGCAGAGTTAAGCTGATGCAACCACTACTTGGTTTGGTTTGTAACTGGAGATTGTTCTGGGGAATCCTGCTGCTGCTCCCCTGCAAAATCCAGAAAGTGAATGAAAAGCCTGGGATTCCAAAGACTTGCTGTTTGTGGCCAATAGCAGTTCTGTAGCTAGTAGTACCTTCACATAACATGTATTACAGCCAACAGCACTGGTGTGGTAGTACTCTGCAGATATAGGTGAAGTTTGATAAACCTACAGGATTCAGCTGGCCTTCACTCGTTTGAAGAGGATCTGGCTTAATGCTGAATTTCTGGTTTTAATCAGTAGAGGCTCCTCAGGTGAGATATATTTTTTTCTTTAACTTTGTTCAGCTTGATTATGCACTGTCAGAAAAGGGGTGATTTGCTGTTAACTTCTAAACTTGTATGGCAGTCAGTGGAATACGGGTAATTATGCAGTTTTAAAATAATAGCTCTGAAGTTTCAAAATCTTGAATGGTATAGTGATATCCTAGTAGGTTAGAGAATTCAAATACAGATTCCATTGCTTCTCAGAAACAAATGAACCGCATCTACTTATTTATCCAGAAAATCTGATGAGAATTTTTATGCCAGAGTATTTTCCTCCAAAATACACATCTCTTCTCCACTTGGTTTATAGGAGAATAGGAGAATTTGTCCTCTAGCTTGCTGTTACATGCCTCCAGCCAGGACACTGGTTTTATCCTCTTATTTGATGAGGCAACACTAAACACCTCTACAAATTAAAAATATTTTTAGGGTTAGAAAAAAGTCCTGATTGTGAGATTTTATTCATATACTGTGAAATTGGTTAACTTTCTGATGGGAAGCTGGGAGTGCTTTATGCTTGGCTACAACAGTGAAGATGGTAATTGAAAAGCCAGCATTTCTTGGCATGC